TGAAAATCAAAATCTGGATTTGAATTTTTAATGTTATTATAACCTAAAGATGCTATGTGAAAGTTTGAAACAGAAAATAGTGGTTTTCATCTTGCCACTTTTTTGGTAAAGAAACCCTAACATTTTTACTCAAATTAATCAAAATGGATTTATAGCGTTTTGGAACCAAACTCTTCAAATATTCTTTAGTGTATATTATATGGATTTGTTTTTTTATGATTCCTAATACAATCTGCTCTTTAAATTGGTATGAAGTCTTAGAGCTGACATTACGTCATGTGATCTGCGTGAGTGTGTGGGGGTTGTTGTTTTAATCTGTTACCATGGTATTGTCCCAGGTGAATGGTGTAAACCTGCGCAATGCTACCCATGAGCAGGCTGCTGCTGCACTGAAGAGGGCTGGACAGACGGTGACCATCATTGCCCAGTACAGACCAGAAGGTAGAGTGGCTCTTTCAGTGTGTATCCATGATGTTTGTCACTGCAAAAGAAATTGTGCTCCCTAGAGGACAATGCATGAGATTAGCAATGAGAAGAGATTTGAGCTGATGCATGCAAGTTAGCTTTTTATAGGGTCTTAAAATATGCAATGATTCATTTAAGAGCAACAAATTAAATCATTTAAACTGTGATTCTAAGAAAAGATCACCTTTGTACTTAGAAATATTATGTGGGATTATTGCATCAAGACCCCAAACTACTCTCGCTCTCTTCCCACACCCATGTGTGCCTGTTGTGTCTTGCCTTCTTCTGTAATCACTCCATCACAGTGGCATACTACTGCATGTTTCTTTAAGAAAGGTGAACTACTTTAGCCTCGCCCAGTGACTGATTTATTGGTTGGCTTTTTTAGAATTAAGGGGGTAGATTTTTGTTTGACATACTCTGCTCAGTGAAGTGTTCAATAATACAACTTTATCCACAACTATGTATGGATAAACAGCATGACTGCCATTGAAGTTTCACTGAATTCACTGAATTAATCCTTATTTGAGTCGAAACGTTTTAAAGAATCATTTGAACCGGTTCACAATAAGCAATTAATTGCAGCAAATTATATTTAGATTCTAAATATCTTTTTATAAAATGAATCATGGCTGTAACAAACTGAACTAGGAGTCTTGGATTTTGGAAAATTACAGTAAACATCTTTACTAACGAAACTATTTGGAAATGTGTGGCGGCTTGATCGGTTCGTTTTAATGTGCCACAACCCGGTGTCAGCGGCCGTGCGATGACGTAAAAGAATCACTGAATCCGGTTCTTTGAAATTAACTGTTCAAACGAACCGATTCAATGAAACGAGTCGGACTTCCCAAGTTCACGCTTGAATGAAAGTACTGGGATGAAACTAGTGGGAGGGATCAACCTGAGAGAAAAAAAAGAGGGGGAAAGAACTAAATGGACTAAAATCCACAGAGTGAAGGAAGAGTCTGACTTTACCGTTTGAAAGTTTATTTTTGGGTCAGGGTTAGGTTTCATCTGCTGGATCACTATGAGAGTGCCTCTGACAGGAGATATGGAATAAGCGCGCGCTAGTCGCGTGAGCGGGACGGGTTGAAATCCCGCGTCTCGAGCGCGAGTGAGACTCGGTTTCAAAGAAGAAGGTGCCGCTGTTGGAATGGGAGGAGCGAAGCAGGACAGACCGACACAGTTTCATTAAACTCTTTACTATTTATTTACCTTTCGTGTCGATTCGAAACTAAAGAAAACGGGATTTACCTCCTCACGCCAATGTGCAGCATTCGCTAGTTTATTCTCTTTTGTTTGACTCGCTTTTTCTTACGTTAAGTTACCTGAAATGTTTTCGAGTGAGCTGGACAACGAGAGGTTGAGCTGAACACAGCACTTTAGCCGCCGCCTGGTAAGATCACCTCAGCTCATATGCATAGAGTATTTTCAGGAAATATCTGTGTGAAGTATGGAAAACACAATGTGGTTTTATTATACGTTAAACTGACAGTAGAGTTGCTTTATGTGCTTCAATATGCTGTGCTGAAAAGGAAAACATCGCTATTTGTTCACAATGGATTTCTGTTGGCTCCAGTTACATGTTCACCATAGTGTAGTGCGTTTTATGATGAATGTAAAATAATGAAAACAACTTATTAAGCTGCTCGGCCGTTGGCATGACGTCGTGAAGCTTGTTTCTAGCCTAGAATGTTTTAAAAAAAAGAGGGGGAAAGAACTAAATGGACTAAAATCCACAGAGTGAAGGAAGAGTCTGACTTTACCGTTTGAAAGTTTATTTTTGGGTCAGGGTTAGGTTTCATCTGCTGGATCACTATGAGAGTGCCTCTGACAGGAGATATGGAATAAGCGCGCGCTAGTCGCGTGAGCGGGACGGGTTGAAATCCCGCGTCTCGAGCGCGAGTGAGACTCGGTTTCAAAGAAGAAGGTGCCGCTGTTGGAATGGGAGGAGCGAAGCAGGACAGACCGACACAGTTTCATTAAACTCTACTATTTATTTACCTTTCGTGTCGATTCGAAACTAAAGAAAACGGGATTTACCTCCTCACGCCGATGTGCAGCATTCGCTAGTTTATTCTCTTTTGTTTGACTCGCTTTTTCTTACGTTAAGTTACCTGAAATGTTTTCGAGTGAGCTGGACAACGAGAGGTTGAGCTGAACACAGCACTTTAGCCGCCGCCTGGTAAGATCACCTCAGCTCATATGCATAGAGTATTTTCAGGAAATATCTGTGTGAAGTATGGAAAACACAATGTGGTTTTATTATACGTTAAACTGACAGTAGAGTTGCTTTATGTGCTTCAATATGCTGTGCTGAAAAGGAAAACATCGCTATTTGTTCACAATGGATTTCTGTTGGCTCCAGTTACATGTTCACCATAGTGTAGTGCGTTTTATGATGAATGTAAAATAATGAAAACAACTTATTAAGCTGCTCGGCCGTTGGCATGACGTCACATCGCTATTTGTTCACAATGGATTTCTGTTGGCTCCAGTTACATGTTCACCATAGTGTAGTGCGTTTTATGATTAATGTAAAATAATGAAAACAACTTATTAAGCTGCTCGGCCGTTGGCATGACGTGGTGAAGCTTGTTTCTAGCCTAGAATGTTTTATCAGGGAAGGTTTGTGTTGCTGAGCGACACAGGTAACGTTAAACTGTTTGCTCGAGGATTTGCCAGAAATGTTTTATATTCAAACCATAAACACGACAAAACACAGCAGCAAGTCATTTAGTGCTTCATATTTTATATTCTCATAAGCAATATGGTGCTTTCATTCAGTATGAAGAGTAGGGTAGTTCACCTTTGAACTAAACTTCAGTCCTGTCATAATGATCCGGGATATTTGCACTTTGAGGCCTGACGCTTCGCCGTCATGTTTGTTCAATGCGTTATTATATTATGGAGCTTCCTGCAGAGATCAGGAGAACAGGTGCAGGAAAGGGCCCATTCAGGAAGTCACTTTACCTAAAGAAATGTTCAACGTTGATGTTGTTTTGTAGTTCAGTGGAAACTACAACACGAAAACTTCGTAGTATTGTTTATATGTTATATATATTTATGTTAAATGTGTCGCTGCTGCCTATTATGATTTGACATGTTCAAATAATTTCTCTACACCAACAATATGTGTCAAAGATTGTGTTAACTAGCTGTAAACACCAATCAGAAAACTTGGATGATACATTTGACTGGCCCAGAGGATAGGAAATCAATTATAGTCCTTGATAAGATTTGAAGTGCATTAATAGCCACTGTAACTAATATTTAGTATGTCAGTGCATAGTTTATTCTCTGGTGTCTATTAGGGCTGTGTATCACAGCAATGTCACGATACGATACGTATCACGATACAGGACTGTACTGAATTTCACCTTAGCAGAATTAAAGTAATACAGCTGTTTATTAAACACGGCATACTATAGGGCCATTTCTATGTACTCGTCCTAATAATTTTATATTGTAATGTACTCATTCTAATATATAAAAAAATCATATTTACATTGCTGGTAGGTTATCATTGCACAAATTAACACACTTTCTACATTAAAAAAAATGTAAATTAGAAGAGTAATGCGCTGTCTTCACTGTATCTAACGCACACACGTTCAGTCACTCAAACAGATCACGTTGCGCGTGCGCACAGACATTCAGCAACACAAACTTTTTTGCGCTGCCCCGCAATTTTATCAATAAAATAGCTTAATCGCTTAAGAGCTACATTATCTTTCTCAACAAGGAGCATTATTGTAACATCATTGTTTCTAAAGGAATTAAAGCCACAGCTTCACTGTTAAGAGAAATGCGGCAAAACGGTGGTAATTCATACATACACAGCCTCTCTCTCTCTCATGTAAATAAACACTTGATGAATTACACTTTTCTGAGAATAGAATATTGAAGTGGAGATCGCTAAACTGCAAGCTAACCAGTGTTTTCAGAAAGCAAGCGCGTTTATCCACAGTGGAGAGAGAGCGCGTGCACATGGTTGCCAGGTTGACAAAGCTAAGTAGCACACTTAGCAGATATTTCCGTATTGCGAAAGTGTGAAGCTCTGTTTCGGGGATTTCGTCTCTTTATATCAGGCAACCCAGCTGTGTTCCTCTGCGGCCAGATTAAACCTTGTTGTAGCCTATATATGCTCTATTCATTCTTTTTTAGAAACCT